CTCGGACCTGGCCGACTGCTCTTCCCAGCAGATGTCTGGTAATTTGGTAACCTTTTAGAAGAATGTTTTCATAAGGGGCAAAAATGATTTCAAAATCACTTCAGCTGTGATATAATTATGGGAGCTGATGACAATCAGTTTATGAAATTTCTTACAGACTAAAGAGGGATCCAAAACTCAACCCCAAACTTTTTGACTCCCTTACGTGCATGCCTATTAGATCTGTGTCTTACAGCCAATGAATCTATTTAACCACAAAATTATTTAATCATGTGACTATTCACTGACACATTTAACCATTATATCCATTTAACCATGCCCCACATACCTACCAGACTGTGAGCTGTGGTAAAGAGACAAAAGTAGTGATGATAAGACAGTTATATATATAGAAATACAGCTAGGAGGAGGGTGTTGCATACTTATCTGGCATACGGATTACACCAAAATACTTTAGGTGGGCAAACAAGGAAGAAGTCACAGTGACAACATTTTTGTGAACATTATGGCCCAGCCCACTAGGGAATCCTATATCCTACTTGCTCCTTGGGAGTGGCAGCTTGATACTGGCCTATACCACCAAGAAATCACTATCATTCTTTAAACAGCTCATCTCTCGTAAGTCGGTGCATTGTGGAGGTCACCTATCCTCCCCCACCTGCTCTGGTGAGAGCTAACTTCATGGACTTGAAGGCGGCATAATTGGGGGATATACTCATCTCTGTACACCTCTATGAAAGTGCAGAACCAGAAGCAGAGGAGGGACAAATGACCATGGCATAGGCTGTCATTTGAAGTAATTTTGTCCTTAATGTCATAAATTAACTGTAAAGGTATTCTTTTAATAATTCAGTAGACACTCTGGCTGCTGACAGACATGAAAAACAAAACAAAACTGCTTTATCAGAAGAAACAGCATGATAGTTTAACATGGCTCTGCAGTGTCTGTATAGATCAGGCACTTCACTGGGGCCTTTGGGCACTTTTATCTAACAGCTGGTTCAATCAGCTGTTAGATAAAAGCACCCAAAAAAGCCCCACTAAAGCGCCTGATCTATACAGATGTGGATGTGCTGGGTCCAACTAACACAATTAGTCTTCTGGGCATGTGCTGGGCTTGGTGTGGGGGTGCGCAGAGTTTAAAGTGCTTTTTTTTTTTCTGTCTGAAGCAGCCTATAAGAGGAAAATTATGACTCAGTAATAATTGAATATAATCTGTTGTGAATGTTATTGTATACCTATAGAGAACGCATCTGAATATAAAATATAAATAAGGTTTCACTGGCAAATATACCAGGCTCTAGACTCCAAGAAGAAAAAATTGTCTTCTAAAATGAATGCTATAAAAATCCTATAAAGTATTATTTTTTATAAAAAATATTTCCAGTAATACCTCACTGAGCTGAGTGTTGTCTCTGACCTTAGGATTCTTTGCAAAGCATTTTAATTTTGAAGAGTTAAGTCAAAAAGTTGTAGTATTTAAAGGCTAATTGATGTAGAGAGCTGTAAAGCAAACTGTTCTGTATGGCCCCTCCCCATCTTCTTTTTTCTTATTGGAGTTCTATTTATCTTACGTAAATGTTTTAGAAGCATTTTTACTCTGCCTTAAGGCATTTCAATTAATGCTCAGATATGTGCCGGTAAAAGCTTTACCTTCTGGTTGTTTACTTGAAATTTTCTAGTATTCAGCAACATGCTGAGGAAGATATCAATAGGTAGCAAAGATTAACATGAAAAAGTGAACAAAATCTTTTCCTCTTGAGAGACTTCATGTTTCACACTTTGTTTTAAGAAGGCTACATTCCTTCCAGGAAATGTATTACTTACAGAGATAAGTCTCTATTGCTAAAGCTTAACAGGTTTTCTACAACAGTATTACAGAGCCTATAGCTTGACTGTGGTTGTTTCAGACAGAAATCTACATTCTAATGACGTTATGGTTATCAGTAAAGCTCGGGACAGAAGTATTCTTAACTCACCTGGTTGTGCCAAGGCAGTGCCAGAAGTCAGATATATTCACAGTATGGGCAGGCATTGCAAGCATTTATATCACTGTTGTAGGAGCCAGAACAGGTCCAGGCATTATAGAAACCCCCACTTAAGATTGTTTTTGTACTCTTCCAAGCTGTTATGGTAGAATTTACAGCTTATAACATGACCCGACAAATATAAAAATCTTTATAGGAAATATAACTGAAAGATATGTTTACATTTACCTTTTTCTTTTTTAAGTACTTTTTTTTTTAAACAGCACTTATGGGATTAATTCAAAAGCTTTTGGATTTTTTTTTTCTACTCTTCAAAGATAGGAAACCTCCCAGGTCCTGTAGGTTTCTGTTGATTTTTTTTTTTTGATCCACTTCTTAAAAGGTCACTTTAAAAACAGATTGTTGGCAGGCACTCATGCCTTTGGTGTGTTATAGAAAAATGGTTTTAACTGCAAGCTATGTCTAGAGTGACTTCCAGCTGAATTAAGTTTTGTAGCCTTCACTCTGGCTGGCAAAAAAACAGCATTATTTTAGGTCACCTATGGAAACTACTCTAAGTGCAGCAAAGATCCCAATACAAGTCTTGGTTGCAGGAATGTGAAAAGCGCACACAGCATGAAAGTGGCCTTTGGAGGTTTGTGTTACTGATTGGCCATTGGTGTGCAGATGCCACAGTAACGTGCAGTTGTTTTCAGCAGACTTTAAATAGACCGTGAGATGCATACATTCTAGGTAATCTGGGAGGGGACTGATTTGAGCTGCCAGACTGCTTACTTTAACTACTGTTACTGAGGGAGAGTGTAGACTTTGCCTTTGTATACATATAGTCTAAATACAGGCAGTCAAAAAGCCCAAGGCTGAATCAATTCAGTTTTTGCGTGTTAATCTAAGCTGTGTAGATTGAATCAATAAGCAAGTGAACAGACATTCATATTTGTTTCTGGAAATGTAGCCACATGCCTGCAGTGGCCCAAGCCAGATGCCAGGGGGTGCTAAAGCACACCTCCCTGCTGGGCTGGAGCAGACAGCTTGGGCCAAAATTAGCTGCCCACCCTGCAAGGGGGGGGG